ATGGATTAAAGACCTAAATGAAAGGCCAGACACTATAAAACTCTTAGCAGAAAATATAGGCAGAACACTCTATGACATAAATCACAGCAAGATCCTTTTTGACCCACCTCCTAGAGAAATGGAAATAAAAACAAAAATAAACAAATGGGACCTAATGAAACTTAAAAGCTTTTTGCACAGCAAAGGAAACCATAAATGAGGAAAAGACAACGCTAAGAATGGGAGAAAATATTTGTAAACGAAGCAACTGACAAAGGATTAATCTCCAAAATATACAAGCAGCTCATGCACCTCAATATCAAAAAAAACAACCCAATCCAAAAATGGACAGGAGACCTAAATAGACATTTCTCCATAAAAAGAGAAACAGATGTCCAACAAACACATGAAAAGATACTCAACATCACTAATTATTAGAGAAATGCAAATCAAAACCACAGTGAGGTATCACCTCACACCCGTCAGAATGGCCATCATCAAAAAATCTACAAACAATAAATGCTGGAGAGGGTGTGGAGAAAAGGGAACCCTCTTGCACTGTTGGTGGGAATGTAAATTGATACAGCCGCTATGGAGAACAGTATGGAGGTTCCTCAAAAAACTAAAAATAGAACTACCATATGACCCAGCAATCCCACTCCTATGCACGTATCCAGAGGAAACCATACTTCAAAAGGATACATGCACTCTGATGTTCATTGCACTATTTATAATAGACAGGACATGGAAGCAATGTAAATGTCCATTGACAGATGAATGGATAAAGAAGATGTGGCACATATATACAATGGAATATTACTCAGCCATAGAAAGGAACAAAATTGAGTTATTTGTAATGAGGTGGATGGACCTAGAGTCTGTCATACAGAGTGAAGTAAGTCAGAAAGAGAAAAACAAATACCATACACTAATGCATATATATGGAATCTAAAAAAAACGGTACTGATGAACCTAGTGACAGGGCAGGAATAAAGGCACAGATGTAGAGAACGGACTTGAGGACACAGAGGGCAAGGGGAAGCTAGTATGAAGTGAGAGAGTAGCATTGACATATATACACTACCAAATGTAAAATGGATGGCTAGTGGGAAGCTGCTGCACAGCACAGGGAGATCAGCTTCATGCTCTGTGATGACCTAGAGGGGTGGGATAGAGAGGGTGAGAGGGAGGCTCAAGAGAGAGGGGATATGGGTATATATGTATACGTATAGCTGATTCACTGTGTTGTACAGCAGAAACTAACACAACATCGTAAAGCAATTATACTCCAATAAAGATAAAATTTAAAAAGAATGGGCTGGATAGATGAGATTTTTCAGAACTGATAAAGAAAAGCCTTTTTAACCCAGAAAATTAGACATGACTGTACTTTCTTTACTGTGACCACCTTAAGACATAGCTGTTTTTGAGAAACTACCTTTAAATATCTACATTCTCCTCTTTTCACACAAGGCTCTACTGAAATTACTTGAGCCTTAACATCTCTCTAGACATAATGTGGTAGAATTGCAACTGAAAAAGAAAGTAATAACAGTATTTGGGGAGGCAGACAGCGGTAAAATAGCAAACCTTACATTGTGCTCTTATGCTGTCACATCTTGGAACATCTGTCAGGAGAACTCCAGGGAGCTAGGGGTAGAGATAGGAGATCAACAAGAAAATTCTTAATAGTCTTACCCTAGATTTGTTGTAGACTTGTTGGTAAAGAGATGTGAATTACAAGTTTTACATGGCTGATTGTGACCAAAGCATTTTTTAAAATATTTCAAAACAGGCAAGCTGAAAACAAGTGTTTCTTGTTGTGGTTATACCATTAGATTAAGCAGTAGGAAGCCAGTGGCTTAAGGACTCATGACAGTATTCATTTAAAATGCACACAGATCTCTTTTTGTTTACCAAATGACTACACAGTGGCAACACTGCAGTAGTCTAGTGCCAAACAGACTAACTGGGGATTCAGACTTGATTTTCCTTTTGGGTGTATTTTGTAAGTAGATTAGTAAAAGACTGAAAAGGCAGCTTTAAATTCTATTTGCTCATGCTTCCTTCACCCCACTCTTAAATCGATAGGCACTGGCTAGGAAAAGACAGTCTTATTATTTAACTACAAATTAGTGTAGCCCTTCTTGTGGCAGCATTTGAAACAAACAGAACCAATTGGAAGGAATTTATATATCTGAATTTCTCTTTGCAGAAGTTGACTGGGTCACAAATTATAACCTATTTAAAAAGACAAAATACACACCCACACAAGTGTTTATTCATTTAGAGACTTCAATTATGTGTAAGAATTTAGTCATAGAAATTATGAGCATCCATTTAGAAAGTTTCCAAGTTTATTTTGTAATACTGTACCTTTATTGTTCTAGTTCAATATGCTGTAATATTTGTGAGCTCATTTTTCACAGCTGGACAATTATATTAAACTTTACTAAGTATATCATGCTTTCACTAAAACCATAGACTGCATGCAATATAGATGGATGTAGTATGCAGCATGTGTGCTGTCAGTATTAAGCTTAGTCTAAGTGGCATCACTCATAGCAATAAGCACTTGCTCTCTCTTTTAAGTTCCTTGCACTCTTGGCTTTGTCATTCACTTGACTCCTCTCACCTGACCACCTTAGCTTCATATTTAAATACCATGTTATAATTGAAAATTTTAATATATTTATGTCTAATACCTCCCTCTAGATTGTAATTTTAGGAGGGAATCTGCTATTTTTCTTTAGACATTTTAAAGAACCTGATAAATTTCTTACATACTTAAGAGGCACCAAAGAAATATTGTTGAATAGCTATTAAATACAGTTTCGGACAATCATTTTAGATTTTAGTGCATCACAGTTGGAACCTCTGTTGATCTTCAATAAAGTGTTAGCTGAGAAAATGTGACAGGTTGATTATAAAACAAGACAAAACCCCATCTTGATTAAATGTGTTGTTGTAGCTCAGCACTTTCATGAAAAAGACTCTTGTTTACTTGTTCAGTTTCTGTTCCAAATGGTGAAAATTGACACATAGAGTCTTGTAACATTCTCAAGGAAATATTCATTTCTGTTAACTGTATGATGCTTATTAAGACAGGAAGTAGACTCAGGTCGTTTGGAATGACTTTCAACAAAGGCTAAAATTAAGAGAGGCTTGTAGATAATCGGGAAACACACCTTGCCACTACTCAAACTTTTGAGTTAATTGCACTTGAGGTTATTGATATGTATCAGCTGTCTTTTCTTCTTCATGATTAGATGTGAGCATTTAAGTGAAAAAAAGAAAAAGTTGGGTTGATCAAAGGATCTGCGAACTGAAAGCTCTTCAATCCACTTGTGAGACATTAACAACAAAATAATAGAGGGAAAACTATATATCTTCTGTTAAACCACAAATCTTGATCCATGTCTGAATTCATTTCTGCCAGTTCATTAACACATTTTTTGTTGAATATGATAAAAATAATAAAAGCTGTTTGTTCAACAATATAACTTCTTGTCCTTTGGGCCCTAGATTAAGAAGAAACAGCAAGATGTGCTTGGTTTCTTAGAAGCTAACAAAATAGGATTTGAAGAAAAGGATATTGCAGCCAATGAAGAGAATCGGAAGTGGATGAGAGAAAATGTACCTGAAAACAGTCGACCAGCCACAGGGTACCCCTTGCCACCTCAAATTTTCAATGAAAGCCAGTACCGTGGGGTAAGGAACCAATTAAAATTCTTGTTTTTTTAAAAAATGGATTGCCTCAAACCCATCCACTTTCTTTTACTCCCACCCCATATCTACACACAGTCATTTCTCCTGTTCATCCTCTACATCCATCCTAGGCAGCTAGGGTATTTTGCCTTCTACTAGAAGACAAATGGATGAGTCATTCACCAAAAAATTATCTGTGAATGTATAAGTACAGACCAGAGCATTTATATTATTTCTGGTATGTCCATGAAGAAGCCACTGAAAGCAGGTGAGCTGTTTTACTTATTTAGATTAAAATTAGTTTAAAAAGAGGAATATCTCAGTTTCTGCTTCAAGGTAGTAAAACTTTTATTTGAGTATTATTAATGAATTTTCTTAAAATTTTGAGTTAGCTAATTGAACTAATGTATGGATGAGGGAAACAGGAGTAGAGTTTTTACTTTTTGACTGGTGCTTTCAAGTTTGTCATCTTGGTTAGCCTTCATTTAAACCATGAAGTAGTTCCCTTCAATGTTCATTCACTGTGTATTTAAGTAACATTTGTAGCCTGTGGCCATTCTAGGTACCATGGCAAGTACAAGTATGTATAAAACAAAGCCTCTTTTCTTAAAGAGCTGATTGGGAGTGTTGTGTGGGTAGAATCAAACACACCTGAAATAGAGAGAGTGGTTATGAGGCCACATCCGTGTGATGACATGGTACAGAAAGCATATGTAAGGGCTATAGGAATTTCCAGTAAAGAACTGTTTGCTTTGCTGTGTCCTCAGAATTAGCATAATTGAGGAACAAATGTTTTTAGAGCCAGCAATCCAAATCTTCTAACTCATGTGTTTATGTGGGAGTGAGAAGGAGAACACCTAGGGGAGGGTATGGCAAAATTGAGAAGTTCATTAGCATAAAATATTTTCTCTGTGAATTGAATTTGTCACTTCTGAGGAGGGGCCAGAAGATTTCTTCTGCTGCTGCAAACAGGGCCAATGTGTAAAGACATATTATGTAGATAAGGAAAAGACAATTAGGCTATTCATTTAGATGGTGAAACCTCAGTGCTTCTATATTTGAAATTTCTGCAAATTGTCGACTCTCAGGGGCTGAAACAGGCCTCAGAGGTCATCCAGTCCAATCTAAGCCAGCATATATTGTCTTAATCTCTCCTTTTTGAAGAAGGAATTTCAATTTGTTTGACTTTTAAAAAGAAACACATTTTGGGTTATAAGGGTGATGTTTGAGAAGCCAAATTTACCTGGTTTATTTCTCCCTCGGAAGCCATACTATAAGGGAATGGAGTATGTTATGGAAAAAAAGGCAAGTATCACTGAGAAATGGGAAGATGAAAAGGAAGGTGCAGGAGGTGAGACACAAATCAAACAAATATTTGTTAATGGAAAAGGAATCCATTTTCTATTGAGTGCCTGCTGTGTGCCAGGCACTGAGTTAGGAGCTTCATAACAATAATTAAGATTTGTCCCTATACAGACGTTAGGGAGAAAAGTGTATAGCAACCATTCATAAAAAGCATATTATATGTCAGCTATTGTGCTACATACTTTATGTGTACTATATTAATCAGTTCTCATACTAATCTCATGAGGTGTAGATATTGTTATTCCTGTTTCATAGATGAAGATATTGAGGCCTAGAAGAGGTTAACTAACTTCCTAAATCATACAATTATTAAGTGATGCAGCTAGAATTTAAACCTAGATCTGTCTTATCCTGAAGTTCTTACTCATTCTATTAAACCACTGTGCTGTTAATTTTCCCGTTTACTCAAAGATCCCATCTTCGTTCTTTTCTTGTTTCATTCTGTATTGTGGGAGGCTGACCTCAGCAAATTATATTTCCCAGTGTCCATTGCCAACTGGCTGCCTATTAGGTTTGGCCGGCAATAGGATGCACTGGTTGGATGAGTGGAGGGCAGGAGGAGAGGAAAAGCCAAGATATCCCCCCTTTTTCTGGAGGTGTCCATGACAGTGGCTACATCTCCTTTGTAGTACCAGCTCTGTAATACTACCTTCTCCACTTTTCCCTTCAGCAGTAGCTGTGGTAGCAGCTTCCTGCTATTTCTAGTCTCTGGGCTGCCTCACCGTCTCCTGTCTGCCTTTCAGCTCTTTAATCTTTTGTAAGTGGTTCTTCATATTAAATTCCCTTGTTTAAACTGTCCCAAGGTTTCTCAACCTTGGCAATACTGATATGTTTGGTTTATGGGGGCTCCTTTGTGCATTGTAGAATGTTTAGCAGCATCCCTGGCTTCTATCCATGAGTGCTAGTAGCACCCTCCCAGTTGTGAAAAAACAAAAATGTTTCCAGATTTTGCGAGACATCCCTGGGGGAAAATTACCTCCTTTTTTAGAATCATTGAGCTATAGCTTAGGTTCTATTTCCAGATTAGGATGTGACTGAAACAATTACCCTGCCAACATAAATGAAGCTCTGCTATAAACGATACAAAATTTTTAAGGGTAATCTATGTTCTGAAAGACCTTATGCTGTGTATATGAAGAACTAAAGCACATTTTCATGAAATAATTAATATGATACAAATATATGGTAGAATACATTCTGGATTAATGTTACTGGAATCCCAAATATGTAAATAAAGTATATTTTCCTCAAGAGAATTCCTATAGAAGAAGCAGACTATGTTTTGTTTACTCTTGTATTCTTAGCACCAGGAACAGTGATTGGCATGTAGTAGGTGCTCAATACATATTTGTACAATAAATTAAATAATCCTGATTAATTGAGAAGATGATATTCTTTTCTCTCAGAGCTACAAATCTGTTTCTGTTTGCTAAGTTCAGGGCCAACAAATAATGTACTGTGATCCCCAAACACCTGAAACAGAGATAACTAGATTACCCTACATAGTATTTTATGATCAGATTTCAATGTATTTGAAGACCTGCTTTCTTTTCACATGAGTTTAAAGATTGACACAGACTGTTTTTATTGATTTGATTATAGTAAGAAATGTCTCTTGTATAACTGTTAGGTTCTTTTAACTAGCATTTTGAGGTTACTTCCAAGTGGTTGAGTATAGATATGATGTATATTGCTTGTTTACCTTGAGTAACTTATAGGTCATGTGTCTCAGTATGGATTTTGTATCAAGATCCAGTTAGTTTCACTTTTGAATAATGAGTTCAAAGAATATAGGAGGCTGGTCATAAATGCCTGTTGTTTATGATTTAATCCTTTGTCAACATCTAGGGTACACAAAAAGATGCTTTGAGACAATCCTTGAGGAGATCTCTGTGGCTCTAAACAATACTGACTGTGTTAAAAGAGTCTCTAAATGAGAGAAATTCTGATGTTTCTTGAGTTAGGGGTCAGATTTAGGGTCATCAATGGCTTGAGAGGCCGTAAACTTTATACCTCCAGATCCTCCAAGTACCAGGAACTATATATGCTAGAAAAGAACCTTGTAATTGGTGATCTGTTGGTGAGGCAATCTCTAGAGAAGCCAGCAAATTATGAGTTCATTTTACCTCTAATAACTCAGCCAAAGTGCCAAGCTTATCTCTGTGTTTTTGCGTTTTTTTAGAGAAATTTTGAAACACTTTATTTTTTTTTAATTTTTATTTTTTTAAATTTTTTGGCCATGCCATGAGGCATTTGGGATCCCCGACCAGGGATAGAAACTCTGCCCCCTGCATTGGAAGGGCAGAGTCTTAACCACTGGACCACCAGGGAAGTCCCTCTCTGTGTGTTTTAAGTCAAACAAACTAAGGCCAGGTATAGACAATGGCTGTGTTTTCTAAGTATATTTGCTATTTATTATATGTCATAGTCAAATGTAGGCAGTTCGGTTGTTACTTTTGGAGCATGCATGGTGGTTTAGAGGATGACAATGGGAAGCCCAACTGAATTTAGTCACGTGAAGCTTTTATTGGATCCCCGGATTGTTTGCTCTTCCAGTCATATTTCATGAAAATCTCATACCCTTCCTCTGAACACAGCACAGATTTACTATTCTTATGGCCATGGGATAGCTAAAATCTGGTCTGCTGTAGGTTCTGAGGGCATCTCTACTTTAATGAATAATGCAAGAGAAATAATGGCAAACTGGAACAATAGCCTCCTCCCAAAAGTAAGCAACATCTTACTGGCAAATAGTTGGCTGCTTTGGGCTATGGACAAAGCTGCTCGCCCTGAGGCAGATTTAAGTTCTATGCAGTAGGAAATAAGTCCTTTTGCTATTTCTGTCTCACAGATCAGCATATCTTCTAACCCACATTAATTGGGATCCAATAAGCCTTGACTCTTTACTACTCCTTCCAGAATTCTAGCATTATTGAAGTTAGCTAGCCTGTTTGCCTTCAAAGATATTGACCAGTCAGATAATTTTGAATTAATTTCCCCTTTTCTTTCCTTTGTTGGTTGTATGCTGCTAATTCTTGTTGCCTTCTTTTATCAAGGACTATGATGCCTTCTTTGAAGCCAGAGAAAATAATGCAGTGTATGCCTTTTTAGGCTTGACAGCCCCACCTGGTTCAAAGGTATGATTCATTTTTTCCCCTTCTTTATAGGCCATTTTATTGCTGCTGGGTTTTTTTAATCAGTAAGATTTGCACGTTATTAAGTACTCAGATTAAGCCAGAGGCAGTGCAACATAGCTAAAAGGAAATGTCCCTGCTCCGCATGCACTTAATCCCTAGTAGGGAAGACAGATGTGCATAATTAAATACATAAAGTATGTGGATAGAAGGTAGGCTGAGTGACTTCCCTATCAAGCTGCCCAAGGCAGCAAATTTCTCATTGACCCATTCACAAATAAGTGGTTAACAATTTTAAAGACACCATTATTCCAGTTGCCATGTATGGTATTACGTGGACAGAAAGCATCTTAGTTCAAAGTAATCTTCTTGTCAGTATCTATTGTCCTTGTGTGACATCAAATGCTATAGTCACCTATTCAAATTAACTAAGAGCATTTGAGTATCAAAACTCATCACTAAATTGCTGGCTGAATTTGGAGCTTTTCCCCTGCCAACAACAAATTAATTTTTCAAGTGGTGGTGTTCCCAGGGAAGATCGTACAAAGAAAAATATAAAAAATTAAGTCGCCTGTTTAAAAAAATGTCTCAGAGCTATGGACTTTAAATATACGTTTGCCTTTTACCATATTTCTTCTCCACAAAGGCTGGTTTAATCAAAGTGTATGTCCCCTGCTCTATCATTTTACATTTTGTTCTCAGAAGCTAATTTTTGTTAAACAGATAATTCAAACTCCAGCTCCTTCTCCAGTTTTGAGAGTCTGTGTTATTGCCTGTATTTTCACTAGAGACTGTTTAGAGGCATTGTTGTCTGAGTCACTATGAAATTCTGTTTTCTTGCCAAACTTTCTTTTCCCATGGATAAAATGTCTTATTTTAGGCTTTGTATAATTTAAGTTGTAGGAAATCTTAGGTAAGGCATTTTTATTTAAACAAGTTAGTAAAACCCAAGTTAAGTCATTGATTTCAGTGCATATTGGAGGAAGTATAAAAGGAAGGACAGTCTGTTTTCTGTGACTGATGACTCTCTTTCCTTCAGTGAAAAGTATGAGCCATTCATTCATTTATTCATTCAATAAATATTTACTGAGTGTCAAACATTGACTTGATACTGATGGTAGGGCAAATACGGAGAATACAACATAATCTCTACCTTCAAAGTGTTTATAACCTAGTGAGGAACATGTATACGAATAATTATACAACAAATATGTCTACAAATAATTATGATATAGTATGGTAAATTTTGTATGGTTGGTATGAATAAAGTACAGTAAGCATCCAAAGGAAATAATCATAAATTACTACTAAGGAGTTTGGGGAAGGTTCCACAGAGGAATTGGCATTTGAGCTGTTAGGGATTCTAAAACACTGAAGTAACACTAGGCGTCTTTCACAGTGGCTGCAATAGGAACCACTGCATTGGGATGTACCTGCACCCAATGGTATGTTCAGGGAGCAGAGTATAATGCAACATGAATCTACTATAGAACATATTAAATAAGGGAGATGCATTAGGAGGTAATATTGGCTAGGTAGGATGGGGCCAGATTATGAATACTGTGCTAGATACTTTCGGCTTTATTCTCTAAGCATCTAAAAGCCATGGTAGGGAATGAGAGAAGACAATGATGTGATTATCTTTGTATTTTAAGATGTGATTTGATCTATGTCTCAAGAAAATAAATTTGGCAGATGTGTGGATTGTGAAACATTGGAGAAATGAGATATCAGAGATGGGCTGACCCATTAGGGTGTTCCTTAAGAGTCCAGAAAAGCAATGGAGAAGGCCTAAAGTGGGACTGCAGTTACAGAAAGGAAAAGATGGATTTAGGAGACACAGAAAAATCACTTGTGATAGGATTTGGCAATTTATGAGATGTTTATGTATGGAAAGAACTGGGAAGGATTGAAGCTATCTCTGAGGCTTCTAACCTGGGTGATAGGGAAATGAAGCAAAAGTCATGGAGGAAACAGAAAAGTGAGTGACCCAAGGGAGGAGTTAGTCTTGGAAAAGAGAGGGCATGCAGTTTTCTTCTGAGACTGGATAGAATGAAGAGAGAAGGATAAAAAGAAATTTTAATGTGTGGGGAGGTTAGGGAAGTTCACATTTGAAAATGTCTTATCTTTAATATGAGGTAAGAAGAATGATCATCTGCTAGGAGTGGTGGGAAATTTGAGAATTGAAAAGATGCATTTGCTGAAAATAAGCTAAAGAGTAGGTGAAGATCATGAATGGAAGGATGGCTGAGCAAGATGAAATTCCCTGTTGAAGTTAGAGTTGATGAGCCCACAGTGGAGCCAGTCAGTTTGTTTACTGTGGTTTTTTTTTTTCATTCTTGTTTAACCCTAGAAGTAGGAATAGAGTAAAAGGACAGCAGATGTTATCAAGGATTGAACTAGAGGGAGCTGATAGATCGGGATAAAGAAAAGAGGTCTGGAATTGACAGTGGAGTTGAAGGGTGGATTGGTAATAGGGAGATTTTGAATGTTAGTATTTAATAGGTTTTTCCCAAGATTAAAAGTGATAAATTTGATATCAGAAGGATGATTTTTCTATCCTTCAGCTCAGCTTTCAGAGTTTTCCCCTTTAATTTAACAGGACAATAAGTCTTCCAGAAAGAACTGGCTGAAAAGAAAGTATGCGCAATAAGAAATACAACTAATTAACCCACATTGGAAAAGTGCGTTCATAATAAAAAGAAATGTGATAAAATGAGATACAATATTCATCTGTGAAGTTAACAAAGATAAAACAAAGTGATAATGCTCAGTGCTGAGAAGTGTGCATTAAAACATATTCTCTCATATATTACTGGTGATGATATAAATTTGTACTACTGTTTGAAAACCAAAATAGCAAATATATATCAAGGACCTCAAAAATGTTTATACTTCTTCATCCAGTAATTGTACTGGGTAGTAAGGCCTAATGAAATAATTCATACATGGAAAAGTCTTTATGGATAAAAAAATAAATCAAAATGTTATTTTTAATCTTAAAAAATTTGTAACCAAGTTAAATGTCTAAAAATAGGGTCAACAGAAATGATTTATCCACTGAGTGAACTCATGCTCTCATTAAAAAATGAGAGTTTGTGAAAAGATACATTATAATGAGCTACAGAACTGTTTTTACTGTGTAATTAGCATTCTATTGATAATTACATTTAAAATTTATGTACAGGACAAAAAGAGACTCAAAGGAACCATAGCTAATAATATGAATGTTTTTCTTTTTTCTCCATTTATTTATTTTCCAAATAATTAGACTACATTCTCTTTACATTTAAAAATTATTGAAAGCCAGTGCACTGGAAAGCTTGATTTAAAAGTACCCAATGGCAAATATTTCTATAAGACAAGGAATCCTCTGTAAGACAAATAATTTTTTTTTATTCTTTTGTATATTAGATGCAGTTAAACATGGTATATAAATATTTGCTCTTTACTCTTCTATTAATACAGAAGATAATTTCATAGCACTAGCATTTCTTACATTGCAGTATAGTTGATAGTTTTGATATGGAATAAAATAACTGATATATTTTTACTAAAAAATAAAAATCCAGTGATATTCATGTTGAGAGGAATACCACTCCTCTGGAAAAGCCGTGTTCACTAGTAGGTTGAGGGTATAGAACATGCTGGCTAAAGAAGTGTTCTCATTGGCTTTGGTTAAACCACCTAGCTCTAGGGAGGGCCATGAAAATCTGCTTCTGCTGTAAGATTTGAAGCATTCCTATTTCCAGTAAGCCCATCCCATTTTATTGCATCTCCAAGAGAAACTGTATGTTAATAACACTTAGCTGTGGTGTTGGTCTTAGTGACTAGGCAGAAAGTGGAAAGGAAAACATTAGGAAAGAAGTCTGGATACCTGCAATGGACTAAGCATTGAGCTACACAGTTCACATTCATCTCATTTTATCTTTACTTCGTCCTTATGAGCTAGGTGTCCTCAATACCATTTTACAGAGGAGGAAACTAATGATTAGATAATTTAAGTAATTTGTCCAAGGCTACATAATAATTGAGTAGCAGATATGGAATTTGAACCCGGGATTATCTAACTCAAAACCAATGCATTTATAGAATGATGTATATAGTGGGAGTAGAGGGTGAGAACACATCATATGCCTGTTTCTAGAGCTCTCTGGTTGATTAAATAACTCATGATACTATAAATACTGGCTACTTACTTTTAGATAATAATAAAGCTTGTAGCACAATTTACATATTTGATGAATAAAACATAATTAGAAAAGTAAATAATTTAAATATGATGTATTCTTAAAGACAAATTACAAAGAAGTTTGAATTGCCTTTTGTTTTGGATTTTTGTGCTAGTAATTTCTTCCATTAAAAAGGATAAGTGAGAGCTAAGGAATTTATGACAAATTACAACAAAGATTGATAAGTGTAACTTTAGGGAACTAGGCTGTCTCCAAAATACTAGTTACTCAGAGGCATTACGTGCTCATAAGAAGAAGGACTTCACATTATCATGTGTTCACATTTTTATACCACTGCTTCCCCACCTATATATACTATGCTATTGAGGGGTTTTATTTATTTTTATTTTTTTATATTAATTAATTAATTTATTTATTTATTTATTTATTTATTTTTAGCTGTGTGGGGTCTTCGTTTTGGTGCACAGGATTCTCACTGTGGTGGCTTCTCTGATTGCGGAGCATGGGCTCTAGGCGTGCGGGCTTCAGTAGTTGTGGCACGTGGGCTCAGTAGTTGTGACTTGCGGGCTCTAGAGCACAGGCTTGGTAGTTGTTGCGCACGGGCTTAGTTGCTCCACGGCATGTGGGGTCTTCCTGGACCAGGACTCGGACCCGTGTCCCCTGCATTAGCAGGCGGATTCTTAACCACTGCGCCACCAGGAAAGCCCCACTGAGGGGTTTTAGTATAAAATTCACTGTGTTGTGTGAGGAAGTTTTTGGAAGCTTGTTCTATAAAATGAAACAAAATACATAATGTGGGTCTAAGATATATTCATTTAGACAGCCAAACACCATGTTAGAAATTTCAAAAGAGCTTAGGGAAGTTTGTTTTTGGTTTTTGACTAAGAGTTTTGGAAGGTGAGTCAGTAGTGTATTACATATGTTTTGTTAAGGATGTATTAAGAATGAATTACACTGTCCTCTGGTTTCCTTCTTTCTATCATTTCTACCTCTCTCTTTTTTTTTTTTTGGTAAAAATATAGCATCTTTTTGTTTGTTTGTTTTTTCCCCTTCTTCTGGGGTTAGCATCAGAGGCTTATTTTGGAATATGCAGCTGCTGTCACTCCTCCTGAGACTGTCAAGTACTCAATTAGTGACAGATGTTTAGAGTGACATTGTCTAGCATACATGATTTCTACAGCTCAAGTCTGAGGTTTCTTTCACCAGAGTCACTCTTGCCACCCATTCTTATTTCCAGAAACTTTCCTTGAAGTGTATTTTGTGTCAAGTACTATGTTAAGTGCCAGAGCACACCTATAGGTCAGAGTTCCTATGCTAGAAGTACTCACCATCCACAGGAATAGAAAGACAACCTTACCTCTTCGAGCCTACTGCCATGAAATTTAAAAGCAACAATACTTTAGCAAATAACACATTTTCTAAGTAGCTTAATCCTTAAACAAAACTCACGTGACTGTAACTATACATGACAATGTTTTTGAACACTCAATTTTTGTGAAAAATCATTCAAAATGGAACTTAGCTACTTTTAAATAAAATGTCAACTATAATTGTAAATCCCTTGCTTTTATGGAATTATAGACAGTCCTCTATGACATCTGTTTCTAGGCAGAAGTTTCTATTTTTTAATTTTTCTATTAAGAATTTTTAAGCAGTCTTTTCTGGGGGCTATTTTTCTGATTTTGAATATTCTTAGCAATTTGAGGTAATATAGTCTAACCAAATTACACACGGATGCCTGCTTTGTGATATTTAAATCTGTGTTGTTTGTTTTTCATTTCAGGAAGCAGAAGCTCAGGCAAAGCAGCAAGCATGAACCTTAAACATTCTGCCTTAAGCATCCTGACAAAGGAGTCTCCACTGCTTTTTATAAAATAGCAAAATTATCTTGGCTTCAAAGAAATAGGCTTAATGTTGAAATAATAGATAGTTGTTGTTTTCACATGCAAACAATCAAAATGAATACATAATTAAAATGTGAACATTATGATGAGGAGAATGGGAGATGAACTTAAAATTTTAAGAGGTGTCATGGAATAGTATTGTTGTCTGCTAAGGCATTTTATGTACTTCAGTGATTTTAAAAAGCAAACACCTGTTCCCTTTTTTGATATTATTGCAGCTTAAGTATATCTGTAGCTCTACATTGAGTAACTTTAAAAGATGAGTGAGAAAGAAGGAAGATGGTAATTATAACATTTACATTCTTTTGTAGTTAAAACTTCTATGTACTGAACCACAGGTTTTCTAGGCTTCTAAATGAAGCCTTTCATTGCATGCTTCAGTGATCGGAACAGATGACCTCCCACCAAAATAAAGATGTATTCAGTTGACAAATTTCTTGCTTAAACTACACAGCTATGATGCAATCATGTTACTAAGTTGCTTGCCCCAGTGAAATATGCATATGTATGCTATGGAAGTAGGATGGCAAATAAGTTAAAAACGGCATCCTTTTGCAAAGAGTCCAGACTTTTTTTTTTTTTTTTTTGTGGTACACGGGCCTCTCACTGTTGTGGCCTCTCCGGTTGCGGAGCACAGGCTCCAGACGCGCAGGCTCAGTGGCCATGGCTCACGGGCCTAGCCACTCCGCGGCATGTGGGATCTTCCCAGACCGGGGCACGAACTCATGTTCCCTGCATCGGCAGGCGGACTCTCAATCACTGCGCCACCAGGGAAGCCCCAGAGCTCAGACTTTTAATTAAATATTTTAAAATAGGTTGGAACTCATTTTTCCCCTTTTAAAACCACTTGTGATCACGAATGCCACTATCTCTCAGATATTTGATCTTTCGGTTTCAGCTTAGGCATATATTGTATGAGTACATTAATCTAAGCAGAGAAAATCTTTTCTATGCCTCTATTCCAGTGAATAGCGTAAGTATCAGATAAAAGGATCAATGTAAAAAATGTTAATTTTGAAAACTTCTAAGAAGATAAGAAACATTATGGCCTAAATCACCCAGAAGACACATATATTGTACTTTAGTTCCACATTAATATTGTACTTTAGTTTCACATTACTAAAAGCAAACACCTTTTACTTTAAATTACTTTATCATATCATTTGATGTATGCAAGTCTGTGCTCTTTGCCAAAATCAATATACAATGAAGACATGGCTTTGTTTACTGAGATTCAAACATGATGCAATGCTTTAAAATAAACTCAGTACTGTCAGAAACATAATTTTTGTGTTCGTGTTCGTGGAGTTTCTAAATAGTGTAATAATAATTTTAGAAGGGTAATATATTTTTTAGATGGTGGGGAAGGAGAAAAGAGAAAATAATAGAAAGAAAACAATTTGAATAAACTTTCTAAATTTCCTATTTAGGACTCTGAATTTTGCAATACACACTAGAATCAAACAACTACTCCATTTTTTTGTGTACAAAAATATGCTATGGAGAACTCTAAAGTAAACAAGATATCTTGTAATAAATTCTGGAAAATGCTAAAACATTTTTCAATATTTTCTCCTGAGCTATATCAAATGCAGATGATGATACTTGCAATATTATGTGGGCATTTTTACTTTAATATCAAATAAGTTAACACTGTCAAAACTAGACATTCTTTAAAAATAGATGACATTTTTGAGATTTGTGTATATACTAGACTATACCTTACAATTAGCATATATGTATATTCAAAGTAAAATGTTTTATTGAGTCTTGCCAAATTGAAATCTTTCTTTTTGTCAGCTGAATACTATATGCCCTGTAGATACAAGAAAATCAAGTGAAATTCTGAATATTAGACAGCTGCCTTCAAGGCTATGCTGAGGCCCCCCCCCACTCTTTAAATTTTTTATTTTATTTATTCATTTTTTGTCTGTGTTGGGTCTTCGTTGCTGCACATGGGCTTTCTCTAGTTGTGGTGAGCGAGGGCTACTCTTTGTTGTGGTGCACGGGCTTCTCATTGCAGTGGCTTCTCTTGTTACAGAGCACAGGCTCTAGGTGTGTGGGCTTCAGTAGTTGTGGCTCACGGGCTCTAGAGCGCAGGCTCGGTAGTTGTGGCACATGGGCTTAGTTGCTCTGCAGCATGTGGGATCTTCCCGGACCAGGGATCAAACCTGTGTCCCCTGCATTGGCAGGTAGATTCTTATCCACTGCGCCACCAGGGAAGCCCCTGAGGCCTCTTTTAAGAAGGACTAAAGATGTTGCACTGTCCTAAAGACACACTAAATTCCAAGAGATAGTAGGAAGCTGCAATAACTAAGCCAGTGAAGCCAGTACACAAGCCCGAAAGCAAAGCAGCGGGAAGGTGGGGTTTGGGTCTCTGGTATTGCATGAGCAACAGAGCCCCTGCTTTCCTAGATTGCTCTTGATTCAACTTTCTGAGGTTGGGAGTGTATACTCATTTTCTGAGATACCTACTCCCCAAAGTCTCCACCTCCATCAGTGTGCTGGTCTGCTCTGTTCCCTCCAATTACCAAGCAGCACACTAAGCAGGGTAGTAGCATGGTTCCCCACTGTTAAAGCTTTCTTGGTTTCCAGAACCAAGAAACAAGAAGCTTTAGAAACAGCTTCATTGGTAGTAGTAGTAGTAGTATTTAGGGAACAATATATAACCATCTACTTGTATGTATGAAATTAAACCAATATAGGTACAGATGTGTGTGTGTGTGTATGTATATGTGTATATATATATATATATATATATATATATATATATGTGTGTGTATGTATATATATATATATATATATATATATATATATATATTCACACAGCACCATCTACTATGACTCTTGGGGTATGTTAGGGAGTTAAGCAGGATTGCAAAATTCTTTTTGCTCTACTAAGGTTTTCCAGAAATGCCTATAAGGGAAGAGGTTTTTGGAAGCAGGGAGAAGAATTCCTAACTTCCTCCTGACAGGCAGGAGCCCCAGGATTGAATGGAATTCCTTGTATCACGTGACTATTCTAGCTGGTGTGGGAAATGCCTTCATTTCCTAATGGCTCATTCAAGCTTCCAGATTATGGAACCTGATGGTGATCATGCAAGAAGTATCTGGAGAGCGGGAGCAGGCATCTTACTCTGCTAGGCAGCCTTTTAAATTAAGATTATTTTCAGCATAAGATGACAGACCACTAAGCGTTTCTCCCATCCCACCTCTGTCACTTGTACTAGAAGAAGTGCTCTTCAGTCCCCTTGTTATGACACCCCATAACCTTTATGCTTCATTTTTTAAAACCACTATATGAAATATAAAGGGGATTCCTCTGGACAAAAAAAAGGATCTAAAAACCCTGCAATTGAGGGGCCTTATATGCAAAGGGATAAATGTTATTACCCCAAGGGAGAGGACTGTATAAATACAGAGGGGTTTTATATGCATATTAACCTTATTTATCATTTTGGGTCTCTTTATTTCTTCCTGTGGAATTAAGTTAACATCTGGTGTCATTTCTTATTCCAGTATAGCTATATGCCCTTAGGACAACTTCCAGAACTTTCAGTTACTTTTGAATTTTCTTCAGTCAAATTGCTGTTTTGATGGGGGAATTTCTGCCATACTCCTTACTACACCATTACAAAAGCACAGCATGATTGTTTTTCATGATAAAATATATCTCATTTTCTCCACAAGTTAAAACATTTTAACATTAGTTTTCTTTGGCTCTAACATGCTTGGAATGTACATGGAAATATAATATGCCTTCAGTCCCTCCAACCTATCATGCCATGGGATTTATGAGAAAAATAAGTTTCCTCAAAGTTTTATCAAAATGACACAGCCTTAAAAGTAGGTGATCTTTCTAGGTTTCTTATTAAAATATACTGTGGGAAGGTTAACCTCATGACCAAAGTTAAAAATGAAAGGACAAAGAAAAGGTCTCAATTTCAGAAATTGTTCAAGTCATTGAGATTCTTGAAGACCTTGAGTTATTAATTCATATTACTACTGGAGTAATTAATTTGCATTACTGCTGAATTAATGTAGGAGAAGAGACAGAGAGACAGAAGAGGATACTTGTTTTAGCAACTTAATTTCTACTCTCCCACTTTTAAGTAAAGAAAAAAGAGCTACAGAGCATATAGAGCACCTTTTCCTTCTTCACTTTTTTCTTCACTCGAATCCTAATTATTTAGTTTGTGACTGGGCATAGTGAAGGCTGTGAATCAACTCTGGGCATTCTGCTAGGTCATATGCCTACATAATTTTACTTAATCTTCACAACAGTCATGAGAAGTAGGTGTAATGGTTAAATTTATGTGTTAATTTGGCTAGGCTAAAATTCCCAGATATTTGGTCAAACACCAGTCTAGATGTTGCTGTGAAAGTATTTTTTTAGATGTGGTCAACATTTAAATCAACAGACTGAGTAAAACAGGTCACACTCCATACTGTGGGCAGACCTTTTCCAATTAGTTGAAGGCTTTAAGAGAAAAAGATCTAGACCTCCTGAGGAAGAAGGAATTATGCCTCCTGACTGCCTTTGGACTCAAGATTGCAACGTCAACTGTTGCTGGAATTTCCAGCTTGCTGTCCTGCTTTGCAAATTTCAAACTTTCAGACTTGCCAACCACTACAATCACATGAACGAATTATTTTAAATGGATGTATGTGTTTTTTCTATTGGTTCTGTTTCTCTGGAGAACCCTAACTAATACAGTAGTTATTATTATCTCCATATTTTTTATGGAAAAACTGAAGTTCTATAACTTGCTTGGGTCACACAGCTGGGAAATGGTAGTTACCTAAGTCTTAGTAACTCTAATATCTGTAGTTTTTCATCACCCTAAAAATTATAATGAAAGGAATCTTCATTTTCTGCCCATCTCTACTCTTAGGGCCCATATATGAAATAAATACATTTCTGAAAAATTGACTATAAAGTCAAATTCTGGGGCTTGAATACTTTTGTAAAATTTACTTACATTTAAAAATTAAATCCTGGTCCTACTGAATATTGCTGTTGCTATGACAGCATAAAGTCTGAGCTGTGAAATGGAATTCTGAGGCAAATACATGCAAGCAATTTAGAAAAACAAAGAGGAAGTACAGATTTTACTTCAACGATTTTGCTTGTCCAATTTAAATCTCTCTCTTCACTCACAAAGCATTTTGATTCTTATGCTGACTTTATCAGCTCACTCAGGTGAAAAAGTCAAATAAGGTATTGGATTGACAGCTTCTGGCCTGACTTCAATTGATTAAGTCAGTCAAAACAAGCAGGTTTGTTCATATAGATGGAGCTTGGGACAAATTATGGATAATTCCATTTCTTTTCACTTTTACTCTCAATAGAGGAAACATATGCAAATCACATGTGGTTTTAACTATTTCTAAGTATTAGTAAAATATTAAGTGAAAGCGTTGGAGAAGACTGTGCATTAAATTTATAATAACTAGCTTGAAGTGGAGGTGGGAAAAAACACAAAATAAGCACCTGGTATAGTGACTGACACCTCAGCAAGTGGTACATCGGTCTACATAGCTGATGGCAAATAGCCTTTCCAACTCCATTCTACATTTTTTGTTTGCTGCAATGGATTTGATATGCTCTGAGGAAATAAAAAATGCATTCCTGGTCATCAAAGAACTTTGTTTTAAAAATCTTTTTCTCTACATTTTATAATGTCTAAATTTTAAGGTGCTACTATGAGGGGTAATTATAATTAATCATTCAACCCATATTTTTAGTCACATACTGTATATTAATAGCAGGCACATTTTTAGGGGTGAGAACACTGCCATGAACAAGACATTATCTCTACTTTTAAGAAACTAATAGTGTAGTGTGGGACGATGTACAAATTGCTAGGCATTTCTAATACAGAAAGGTAAGTGGTGCTAAGAGAAGATTTAGGAGCGATACCTCATTATGTGTTGTATGTAGGAGGTGATCAGGCATACTTTCCTGTAGGAAGTGATATATAAACTAAGACACAGAGGCTAAAAAGGAGTTAGGTATAAAAGTAAGGGGAGTGCAGCAGTGTGTTCCCCGGCTTGGATGCAAGAGACATCATGGAGCATTAAAGAAACTATAAGTACATCAGCATGGCTAAGGTAGAGACTATCCGTGGTCAGCGCACATATTACAAATGTGGGGGTGCTTGTGATAAGAAGCTAGGGAGGTAGGCAAGTCTTATATATATATATATATATATATATATATATATATATATATGTTTGTTTGTTTTGGCTGCGTTGGGTGTTAGTTGCAGCACGTGGGATCTT